TTCCGAGTTACTAATCAGGCTGCATCAGAGAAGGTCCTTTGGTAAAATTAATTGATGGTGATTACAATTGATTTTTATGGAGGAGGTGGGAAAGTGAAGAGTCCTTAAACTGTGCCTAGAACACCCTTGGTTTGGTAGTACTTACCACGAGGGGAAGTGTTTGCAGTAGAGACATCATCTGTATCACCTTCTGATCGCCCACTTCTTCTTGAACCAGCAATTCGGATTTGGCCACTATAATTCAAGTGCAGAATATAACAGTATTTAAGGCAATATCTCTAAAAAAAAAACTACAACAGTCTATTCTAAATTTTAAAAATGCTTTCTTTTATTCAATTTTCACTAGAGAATTTAAGAATAACTAGCTTGTATTTCTATCTTTCACATCATGTTTAAAAAAAGTCAACTTGTCACGAGCATGTTTACCAATTCCATAAAAGTTCACACACAGATCTATTGTATATAATGTGCATTGTACTTTTTTAAGCTTGTATACTGCATGACCTCTTGATAATGTGTTGGTATAAATATGTATCTTAAAAATGATAGAAAAGATGCGCTGGTTACCAAGTTTAAATTAGGTAAAAGTGAAATACTTTACACTTGTTTTAAAAGAGAAAACTACAAGATTTTCATCATTGGTTACAAACAACATATGAAACCATTTTTAATGTCATAGAACTATGAAAGTACAAATAAACAAATGCAAGTTTGATATACAAAAGTTTTGGTTAAGAGTAACTTATTTTTATTCGGAAGGATCTGAAAAGATACTGAAAATAATGTGAAAAGAGTTTCCATACTGTTAAGAATAAAGTGATGCCTTTGTGGCATGAAAAGTTGGAAATTTCTTCTATTGTGAGATAAACATTGATTTTGTAAAGGAAGTAAAGGATTTAAATATGATTATTAACGAAAGCTGAAACCTTTAGCTAAGTATCTGTACATAAGATATTCATGGATCTGTTCGTAGAATTTTTTAATTCAGAAGAGAGTTATATGTCATTATAATCTTGTACAAGACCACATAAATGAATGTAGAAGATGTTTTTATCAAGACATCAGTATTTTGTTTGACCAGAGGGAGGTTTAACAACATGGGATGAGCATATGCCTTAATACAGGAACTTTGTCCAAGGATTTAGAATAGACAATGACAGGTGTAAGGACTATTAGGAGCGAGGCCAGGATATTGAGCTGTATGATTTAGTTTGTCTGTTGCTGTTAGACAGTTAGTTCCATGTTGCCAATTTTTAACCATTTGTAAAAGAGATACAAAATTTACATTGAAGTGGAGTTTCTGTTAAAACCTTATTTATTTGTGTGAAGTTAGTAATACTTTACATTAAGTAAACCACAGAACCTGTAATACAAGAAATAAAATGTTCTTGTTATCATTAAGTGGACTTAGCTTTGTATTCAAAACA